TGTACTGCCTGTTATCCAGTGCTGTCTTACAGATTTTGTTCAACTTTCTGGTTCCTTACAGGAAGACGGCAAATCCATTCCATTTACTCTGTCACTGCCAGAAATGGAAATTGTTTTTTTTTTTTTTAACATTCATTTCTATAGTAAAATGATTTCTCATTTAAAATTAGTTATGTCCATCACTAAGAATAAATCCTTCAATAGCAAACTGAGTGAATAACTTATTTCTCGTCCTGCTCATATTAGCTATAATGGCACTTTTCTAGGCAAGCTAGTAAAGACAAAACTGTTCCAGTGGATGCTGGTTTTGTTTCGGGATAAATAAGTTTACACCGACTTTAAGCAAGTTGGTGTATGTTTGTGTATGTGTCTTCTGTTTTCATAAAAGACTTACTGCTAATTTTCCCATTGTCTTTTTTAATCACTGTACAGTTAAGAAGATAGGTATATTATTAGCTTAACCTTAAAGAGAATTTTGCAGCAAAACTGCCAGTTTTTAAGAAAGAGGGAAAAAATAATGAGAATTACTGGCTGGCATTTTATTTTATTTTTTAAAATAAAATCCCAATTATTATTTTTATTATTTTTATTTGTTTATTTTTATTTTAGAGGGAAAGAGAATGTGTGAGGCGGGGAGAGAGGCAGGAACAGATAAGAGAGAGAGAGAGACAAAGAGAGCAAGCGGGGAGGGGGGTGGGGGGACAGAGAGAAAGAGAGAGAGAGAGAGAATCCCCAAGCAGGCTTCCCACTGTTGGTGAAGAGCCTGATATGGGCCCGAACTCACACACCGTGAGATCATGACCTGAGCCAAAACCTAGAGTCAGACACTTAACAGACTGAGCCACCCAGGCGCCCTGAAAGATTGAATCTTAAGCAGGCTCCGTGCTCAGTGTGGATCCCATAACCCTGGGATCATGACCTGAGCCAAATTAAGAGTCCAATGCTCAATGGACTTGCAACTGAGCCACCTAGGTGCCCCACTGGCTGGCATTTTAATTTTATTTAGCAAGTAAAAGCAACCCATTGAGCCAGAACTTACAAAGATTAGGGCTCTAGCAGACTTCAGCTATAGCTAAGAATTACCAGTTACTCAAAATGCACACAAGAATCGCTCAAAACTACAGTAATAATCTTGTACTTATCGCTTTGATACCTCTATGCTGAAGTAAAATACCTGGTTTTCTTTTTCTGTTGCATGCAAAAGTTACTTTATCTTAAGCTAATAATAAATATCTGGCTGTCTGAAAGTTTAATCCTAAATCCCTTTAAAAGTTCCTGGTCTTCGGAGGGAGGGGCATACTAAGATGTAAAGCTGTTATTTTTCTTTCGTTGTTTGTTAATTTGAATAGTTTTCAGTGCTTCTAGGAGGTCTTAGGACACCCTTTCACCTATATGTGTCCCAAAGGCAGTTCCAACTGGGCACCTATGTTGGCTTATTTGTAAATGAGATGTTTATCTGTTTCCACAGGAAAAGATGTTAGAGTTAACCCTCAGGTAGCATTTACTATGGCAACATCTATTAATGCCATGATAGTCCTGAGGTTACAATCAACATTGTTTATTCATTTCGGATAGTTATTAGATAACTTCTTTCTTCGGTTTAGTGTAGTAAGTGTATAGACTTCAAACTCCTCTTATGTGATGATCTGACTAGATTATATTCTCTTACTTATGTTATGCTCAGTTTTTCAAACTGTATGATAACATACCATGCTTTTCCAAGCTTTTCTTCCACCAAAAATTAGAAGTTTGAATTATATAATTTATAATGTCTATAACTGGTAGAAGTACATCTCTCCCCAACCCCCACCCTTCCCCCAGAGTGAGTCCTTATCTCCCCAGGTTTCTCTGCCTTCATCCTTTGTGTTAGAGGTGACTAGGGGCACCTGAGTGGCTCAGTTGGTTGTGTGTCTGACTTGATCTCAGCTCTGGTCTTGATCTCAGGGTTGTGACTTCAAGCCCAACATTGGGCTCCACACTGGGTATGTAGCATACATACATACATACATACATACATACATACATACATATAAATATATAAATACATAAATGTATACATATATATATATATCAGAGGTGACTAGAACCAAAATGGCAGAAAGAGAGGAGAGCTTTGGGCTATAAATTTTCCATCATCCTGACATTGTGTGTTCCCATAGCAGAGGGAGCAGTTCTTGGTGACTGCAACATCAAATGAATGGGTGACAGTTGCTTTCTTAGAGACTGGAGTCTTTTCCTCAAGCAGAGATTAGATTGATCAGTGCTATTTGTAGCTTCATTTCTGGAAGGTGTTCACAGAACAAGCATTTCTGGGTCCATTGGTGGCAGTTGTGATATCATATAGCTTGTTTAAAATTCTTGCTAGAAAGAAACCTGCACAATCCCACACAGTGCTTCTTTTGTTTTCTGAGGTAGGCATAGAAATTCTGCCTCTTGACCAGCACAGAGAGGGTTCTTATATTAACTAAGGACACCCCAAACTCATTCCAACCACTTTCTTAATTCCAGTCACTAAAAGAGTAAATAAATCCCAAATCCCAAATGTTTCTTCTGCCCTGTCACCCTACCCCCATATGGAAGTATTAATTCTATACTCATTGAGTCCCGGAAGTAACCCATAATTCCCCAAAGTAAATACTGAAACTAACTTAATAGTGAATACTATATTACTTGTGTTAAACTATTTTTAAAAATATATGTGCTGATTTAAAGGGAAAACCTCAGCTAGGAAAATATCAGTATAGGGGAGGAAAAAGTTTAACCCACTTAGATAGGGCCCCTGGCTAGGTCTAAAAACTAGACAAGAGAGATTAACAGGAGAAAACCATACAAATTAATCTAATAGAAGTTTTACATGATGTGGAAGGCTTCATAAGGAAATGAAAACCCAAAGAAACAGACCTGGGTATTTTATGCTAGGTGTGGTAAAGAGTAGGTAGTGGTGAGAGATGTGGATAGGTTAAGGAGTATGAGGTAATTGTTGAAAATTGGGAGAAACTTGGCAAGTCCTGTTTGTTCATATTCCCTTTGGGTCTCCCTTTGTCTTTGGAGATAAGGATGCTTCTTTACTCTGGGTACAGGGAGGGCCTCTCGCATGAGGGTTTTATGACTTGTTTCAGGAAAGAGGGGTGAAGTGATTGGGAGACCAAAGAGACTTTCCTGCTTCTGCTGTTTTCTCAAACTCTTTCAGCTTAAAATATTCAGATATGACAAGATGCCATATTTTGGGGTTGTGTGCCCTGAACCCTGTCATCAGCATTTCCCATGCTAAACCCCAGAGAAAACATGTCTTTATCACTTCTTCATACAGCTATGACTGTTGATGGCTGTTCCATCCAAGGAATATTCTGATCCCCAAAATTTTGGGCATAGTGGAAGAATTTATTTTCTCTTACACCAGTAGCAACAAGACGAGCATTTTTCAAGAGTAGCTTTACCTGGAATCAAAGCAAAAGTTAAAAAATAGAAATGTGTAAGTTTAGGGGCGCCTGGGTGGCGCAGTTGGTTAAGCGTCCGACTTCAGCCAGGTCACGATCTCGCGGTCCGTGAGTTCGAGCCCCGCGTCAGGCTCTGGGCTGATGGCTCAGAGCCTGGAGCCTGTTTCTGATTCTGTGTCTCCCTCTCTCTCTGCCCCTCCCCCGTTCATGCTCTGTCTCTCTCTGTCCCAAAAATAAATAAATGTTGAAAAAAAAAATTTAAAAAAAAAAAAAAAAAAAAAAAAAAAAAAAAAAAAAAAAAAAAAAGAAATGTGTAAGTTTATAGAGCACAGATTTCATCTGTCAAAGAAACTAAAGTTTAACTCCTATTGGCTAAAGTAACGTTCCCAGCATACAAATCAATTTCTTTCTTCTCTTTGTCACTTTGTCATGAAGCCTGTAGGATATCTGGCAGAGCCTGTCTTTCATTGAGGTTTGACCACTTTATTTGTTTCTCAGAGATACTATTTGGACTTGGTCTTTCCATTAGCCATGTGGCCTCTGTGTCAGTTTTGAGTCTGTTTACCTCCTTTTAGCAGCCTACTCTGAAAAGCAAAAAGACTTCTATACACTTCCAAGTTCTAGAGCCCTACTAAACTCTCTGTTTCCAGTAGGAGGCATGTCCCAACTCTTCTTACTTAATGAGATTCTCTCTAGTAAACTCAGTCTTGTCCATTCCTTTTCCTACTCTTCCTACCTTCAGAGAAATGTTTTTTCTCTCCTAAGACTTACAATATAAAAAAATACATTACCACATAAATTCTGCTAAAGTAATCACCAAAGTTATTAAAAATGCATGTACTGGGGCACCTGGGTGGCTCAGTTGGTTAAGCATCTGACTCTTGGTTTCGGCTCAGGTCATGACTTCACAGTTCGTGAGTTCAAGCCCCACATTGTGTGCTGATGGCTCAGAGCCTGCTTGGGATTCTAGCTCCTTCTCTCTCCTGCCCCTCCCCCACTTGTTCTCTCTCTCTCAAAATAACTAAAACTTAAAAAAAAATTTTTAAAAAGCATCTACTGAATGATTGAAGAATTAAAAGGGAAGATGGCCTTTCTTCTGACAGATGAATATTCACCTTTTTTTGCTATTTTCCTGATATGAAATAACCCTCCATAGAAATTTCTGCCAGAGATGTTGACCAGCATTTACATCAATTACTGGTATTCTATGTGAAAGGAGAGTTTTCCATGGAAATGGAAATTATTATCATTTTTTGTTGTATTTCAGTCTTTGTTTCTCTTGGCCTCTCTTCCAGTGCAATCTATTTTTCTCTTTGTTTTCTTTACATTTGAAAGTTTCCTACTCTGCTTCCAATTTTATTTTTTATTCAAACTTAATCCTTAAAAGATGGGATTTTGTGTTTAAAATTCATAGTTAAAACATGTTAAAGTTGGTTATTCACTTCAGATAATATTGGTGTCTTAGGGGGAAGTGAAGAAAGAAAGATGAAGAGGAAATTACTCTCTTATACTGCCCTCCAGGAAATCCTTCTCTGTACTCTAAAAGTTCTTCTTCTTTTCTAGGAGTCCAATGTGCTGATTGCTGCTAACAGTCAGGGTACAATTAAGGTAAGCTACCTTATACATCTTTATTTCAAACTCAGATCCATTCTTAGGCTAATAGACTATAGCTATAACACAAAAATATGGAGTTGTACTAAGCCTTAGAGATCATTCCAAGTCATGGGTCTGGCTTTGTTTGAAATGGCTTTGGTTGAAAGGCAAAGGAATAGGTAGCTTGCAACTATGGAAAAGACTTGTTAGGGGCGCCTGGGTGGTTCAGTCAGTTAAGCGGCCGACTTTGGCTCGGGTCATGGTCTCACGGTTCGTGAGTTCGGGCCCTGCGTCAGGCTCTGTGCTGACAGCTCAGAGCCTGGAGCCTGCTTTGGATTCTGTGTCTCCCTCTCTCTGCCTCTGCCCTGCTCGCACTCTGTCTCTGTCTCTCAAAAAGTGAATAAACGTTAAAAATATATATATTAAAAAAAAGAAAAAAAGACTTGTTAGAGGTTATATGAATGCTGAATGATTGATAGCTGGTCACAGTGAAAAACAGATGAACACTATTAAATATTCACTGTGGGCCATGCACCGTTGTTTCTATATGCAGGTACAGCTATAAGTCCAAGATACAGCAAGGGACGCTGAGACTTTCACCAGGTTTAAAAATCTGGTCACATTTTAGTCTTCTCTTCCTCATGTTTGTCTTCCTTTTCTTTCCTGACAAGTAGGGTTGTCCTCAGTCGCGAAGGGAAGAAAAGGTATTTCAGTGTTCCACTGAAAAGTGATCATGTGATCATTTCATTAGTGTAATTTGGAAATTTAAATGTCTCTTGGCACACAGTCTCAGTCACAAAGGTATACATAGCTTTCCACATGCTTTTCTTTGTAGTTAGGAGCTCAAGGAAGCAATGTTCTCTATACTATTTGATACTTGGCATGCGGGCAATCCTGAGCTAAACAGTGAACTTGTTAAACAAAACACCAGTTTGGAAGAGGGTTTTCGTACATGGGTTTGATTAGCACTAATTCTATGGCTGCCAGTGCTTTCTACATATTCTCTGCTGATCTAGAAATCTCAGGAAGTGATCTTTTAAAAATAACAGGTATAGGTTTCTTCTGCCACTTAGCCTTCATTCTGCCGTGGCTTCCTCCCTCTCCTCCTGAGTGCAGAATGACCTGGCCACCAAGAGAGCCAATCCAAGCCTCACACATTGTCCTGTGGAGGTGAACTGAGCAGACTCAGAACTGCACTGTTAGCTGTGCAGTCTAATTTGCGTGGTGCACTCCTTAAACAGCTAGTTTCTCTATTTGGAAAGCCTCACCAGAGAGCCATGGACAACTTAAATGAAAGCCAGGGTTTTGAACTGACCAGTGTTACGTTCTGGAATCTCAAACAAGATGGTAAAAGGTCTTGGAATCTCTGTTTTAAGTGGTTCTCCGTAGTCTCTCAGTTGCTCCTTATGTTACTCTCATGGCAAGGCATGGATTGAAAAAGCTGCACCTTAGTCTTCAACCAGTTTGGCCTTTGAGGCAATTGCGATTGCTAACGTATCTGCAGAAAGCTCAAAGCTACACATGTACTTAGAGAATCTCGGTGACAAATCTCAGATTTTGTTCAAGAGCATTAACCTCTTGTTAAATAGCCTGCTTGCCAAATATAAAGACAAAAAGCATCATGGAAACAGGTGTAATTTAAGCCTTCGCACAGCAGGAAGGGAGAGTTATTCCTTTAATTCTTTGCCACCTAGAACTGCATTCTCCATCTAACGTAATCTTTTTGACCGTGGCTTATAATTGCCCCTTCTTAGACATTTCTTCAACTGTTTTTAAAACTGATCATTGCTGCTGCTGCTGCTGCTGCTTGTTATTTTCAGTTTTAGCAGTGTCACAGCTTTCTTGTATGATAAGGTAGGACTTGAATAACTAACACAATATCTTAACATCACTGATTGACTAGAAAATGAATGAAGCAATGGGAAAAGGCAAGATTTTAGGTTCTGTATACCTTGATCACTATAAGCTGTGAGTCAGTAGAAGAGAGAAATAGATGAAAATCCTTAGAAGTGGTATTTAAAAGTTTCTTAAGAATGTGGAAAGATACCAACATAAATTTCAAAAACATTACATCCATGCTGTGCAGGAGCAAGTTCATTTATCTGTATGTTTTATGTAGTTCACTTGGAAGGCTCCCTAGTTGACTGCAGATGTGGCTAATCTGAAAGAGTTCCTGTTGAACTGAAAGGAAGAAAGGATCAATGTCTCATCCCTTCACATTCCTTAGCATTTTTAGCAGTTGGGAAAAGTTGTCTTGATTTGGTTCTCCATTTATAATACAGTAAAGATTCTTTATACTGTTAACGTATTTTAAAATTATTTTATCAAACTGATCCTTTTTTCCTCCAATTAGGTGCTGGAGTTGGTATGAAGGGTTTACTCAAGTTAAATTGTATTTGATCCTGCTGAAATACATCTGCAGCTGACAATGAAAGAAGACAGAAACTGCCATGTGATGTCTCTCCCCAAAGTCATCATGGGTTTTGGATTTGTTTTGAATATTTTTTCTTTTCCTATTTTTTTCTCCTTCATGCCATTTGGGACATTGGGAATACCCAGTGAACTCTCCACCATCAATGTAACTCTATGGACTTTGCTGCTGTTGGTGGTGTGGTTATCTAATTTTTGTGATAGGGAAACAAATTCTTTTGAATAAAAATAAATAACAAAAAATAATAAAAGTTTATTGAGCCACAGTTGAGCTGGGAAAGTCTTTGTCAAAGACGGGAAGAGATCATCTTTTCAAGTAACACACATGAAGTATAGAATAATGTACCAGTGAATAATTTGTAAGGTCCATATTTCTCAGCCTTTCAGGAATTCTGCATATCAACATAAATGGAAAGTATATGGATTCTTTCCAGTGAATTTAATGTGTGTAGTAGGTGGGAAGATTAATAACTTTACCTTATGAATTCCTTTCCTTGTTCTCTGACCGGATTTATATCATCAGCAAGTACCATACTTCAGTCTCTCTAGATCTGGCCAAGAATCTAAATTTTGACCGGTTGAGACAACATTCAGATAGAAAGGGAATGGGGCATCTGGCAGGCTCAGTCAGTAGAGCATGTGACTCTTGATCTCGGGGTCTTGAGTTTGAGTTCCACACTGGGTGCAGAGATTACTTAAGTAAATAAATTAATTAAAAAAAAACCAGAAAGGGGGTGTCCGTCTATGGCAGCTACTTCTGTCTTTGCCTTTGAAATGTTACCTATACATACCGTCAGCCCTAAATGCAGAAAAACCAACTTAATTGTAAAATCATAGCTATCAGATAGTCATAGTCTTAGGTGTTAGTACCATCCTTGACTGAGCAGTGATTCTGAGCAGGGGGTCAACAAACTTACTGTAAAGGGGGCCAGGTAGGAAATATTTTAGGCTTTGCAGATCACGTCGTCTCCGTCATAATCACGCAGCTCTGCCATTGTAGCAGGAAAGCAGCCACAGACCTTAGCAGGGAAAGAATTTGAAGCCCTGTTACCCAAATTTCCAAACCATAGAATATCTGAGACCATCTAGTTAATTTCATGCTGTTTTCAATTTGTAAAAAGGAAGAAGTTAGTAGTTTGAATAGCAGGTCAAGCAAAAGTAATGTGAAGTTTTCTGTTTGAGCTACGTTAAAAGTGTGAACAATTTTTAGAAAAAGATATAAACAGAATTCATACCCCACACAAAGTTTATAAAAATAGACACTTGGAGAAGCTTCATATGAATAAATATATGAATGATAAGGGTAATCAGAGTATCTCACTGTATCTTTGTACTCAAAATTGTTGGGTCCACATTTCATTATTTTGAATCCTTCCGGTCAAATGCATTGTGGAAGTTAGAACTTTTTGAATTTTAGAAAAGTCAATAGTCTACCTATACTATATATTACATGACACTATCCAACAAAGTCTGGAGCAATACTCTATTATCAAACACATTAATATTTCTGTAGCAAAATGTATGAATGTTCACATTATATGAGATTAATTGACACTAAAAATAGTCTTATGTCTATTCAGTACAGTTTCTACCACCAAATAAGTTTGCCTCAAACTTAGGTGAAAATTTTCAGTTTTCAGAACTTCAAGACAATTATATCTTACTAATTTGGGGGAATTAAGCACCTGATAAGCTTTTGGACTCAATTTTGAGAGCAAAGGTCACTATCATTGAAAAATTAACACCTGTCAACCAGAACAATGTTAGGCAACCTTTCTAAGATTAATGAATGATCTTTTGCAAAGATGTAGAAAGAATATTCAAAGGTAGATTCTTCACTTAAAGATATGTCCAGAAAATCAGATTGGGAAGCAAAGAATTAATGCCCCTTTGAATGCATTTAAATAAAAGATTATGGTTTTTAATTTGGTCTGACTTTTTATGTTTTATTTCAAGCTGTCAACATTGTAAGGTCATGTTAATTTCCATATGTTTGGAAGGATGCAATAAGTTACCTTTATTAGTTATCAAGGGACTGAATTTTTAAATAAATTATTATTTTTAAAAGGCAGTGCTTTATTTAAATTTGTGTTTTAACTTTTTTTTGTTAGTAGGGAGAAACCATTTTTAAATTTGAGTTAGACTAACTTTAATGTCAACGTCAAACTATAGCACTATTTCTTGGAAAAATAACATAATAAAAGCTTTTTAACACCAAAAGAACTTCTAACTCAAGAGAAATATGGGTCTTCATGTTTCAATCTATATTTCAGTGGATTTGTAGGGGTTTCTCAGACATAGTTCATTTTATTTTCAGGCACACAACTCATACTTAAGAAACATTAAAGATTGAAGAACGTTGTAAAATTCTTGTAAACAATTGAGCTACTAGGCATCAAAAAATTTCTGGTACTGAGCCATGACTTCAGCAAGATGAGCACAGCTGGACCATTAAGCAAGGAAGAGATGAGCCTTAGGAGGAGTCTGCAGAGCTGTAGAAGAAACCAGTAGGTATGTGGAGCCTTCTAGGGCACGGTTAGGAATTTGAATTTTGTTGTAGAAGCAGTTAAAGGAGGGGGGTGGGGTGGCGGGGGCGGTTAAGTGGAATGACATGATTTCCTTTATGGTGAGTGGACAGATGGGAGCTAGAGTACAGTTAGGGAGGTGATCTGATCAGTCAAGAGTTACTGGTGGCTTCCTCTGGGTCGTAGCATGATCCAACCTAACAATCTATTTCAGCTAGATGGCGTTTACCACAGTCTTAATTCCTGTATCTCAGAAGATTCTTGATTAATTTTTAAAGTCACTTTCTCATAATAATTTGTGGCAACAAAGAATACAACTCAGCAAATAGATTTCTTTAGTGGTTATGCAATCAACCACAGGTTGTGGCTCTTGGGAACCTCATGGCTAAAACGCCCGTGTGCTGTTTTGGGAACACCACTTCTCTAATCTCAGAACTAGAAGGTACCTAGCCTTGGCTCTAAATATAAAGGTCATTGGCCATTGCTCTTAATGTAATTCCTCAAAATGTTTATAGGAAAAGTCTGCTTATTCAGAAATGAGACATGAGAAACTGTTAACTTAGATCTGGAGCCTATTGTATTATATGACTGACATTAAACACAGCAGTAACACCTTGTAGTTCTTCCCAGAGTGGTTAGTTTCCAGTTCCTCTGTGGCTTCTGGTTTATATGAGACGCGCGTGTATTTTTGGACTAAAGAGAAAACCGTAGTGATTGTTCTAGAAGTATTTGTTGAGATCCTGCTTTGTGTGAGGCACTATGTACTACATACTAGGCATATAAAATAAAATATCCCTACCCTCAAAAAGCTGATTGTCCAGTGGGAGAGAGAGTAGTGTAGAAGTACCATAGCAGATGTAAATTTTAGATGTAAATTTAGGTGTACGTAGGAACAACCTATAACCTGAGTGGTGGGAGACTAAGGGCTGGAAGTAGGGGCGGGTATCAGGAGTTTTTTTCCTGGAGGAAGTCAGCTGAATTCTGAAGAGCAAGTAAGTTCAGCTATAAGCAGCAAAGGAACATTATAGACCAGGGGATGCAAAGAAACTGATCCAACTAGTGACCAAAGCTAGGACAATTTGAGCAATAAAATAAACTAGGATTATAGATTATAACCTAAAATATAAATATGAGTACTTACTGCTATAAATAAATTATTGAATAAACAAATGGAGAGAAGTGAGAAATTTCCCTTGCAGAATTCCAAATTCCATAGATACCCCACCCTTAAGGGAATAGGATCCTAAAGTATGAGCTGTGCAGATTGACTTGGTTTCAGAGAAAACAGCTGTTTGGTTTTTTTTTTTTTTTTTCAATGTTTATTTATTTTGAGAGCAAGTGGTGGAGGGGCAGAGAGAGAGAATCTCAAGAATTCTCCACACTAGTAGCACAGAGCCCAACATGGGGCTTGATCTCAGGACGCTGAGATCATGATCTGACCAAAATCAAGAGTCGGATGCTTAACCGACTGAGCCCCCCTGCCCAACTGAACCGCCCAGGCACCCTGAGTAGGTCTCTTTTTAAAGTTTTTATTTAAATTTCTAGTTAGCATATAGTGTGATATTTTTCTCGGATGTACAGTATAGTGATTCAGTAGTTCTACACATACTCAGTGCTCATCATGACAAGTGCACTCTTCAGTCCCCTTCACCTATTTCACCCATCCCCCCTCCCCTCTGGTAACCAACCATTTGTTCTCTATAGTTAAGAGTACAGTATGGAAAGAGAAAAAAAGGAATTTGACAGTGCAGAAGCCTGACAAACTACCTTAGCCAGGTGATCAGGATCAACATCAAAAGTTATATCATGTTGGGGTGCGTGGGTGGCTCAGTCAGTTAAGCGTCAGACTCGGTTTCAGCTCAGGTCATGATCTCATGGTTCGTAAGTTCAAGCCCCAAATCAGGCTCTGTGCTGACAGCATGGAGCTTGCTTGGGATTCTCTCTCTGCCCCTACCCCACTCGCGCGCTCTCTCAAAAAAATAAGCAGAATTTTAAAAAAGTTATATCATGTTGATAGTACTCTTGATAAGTTGTAATGAAAATGGCACTTTAACTCTGTGGTTTTCCTTCCCCAAACTCAACCCCAGCCAAAATGAGAAAAATATTAGGTAAATCCTGTTGAGGGACATCCCACTAAACCAGTACTCCTCAAACAAGGTAAGTGAGAAACTGTCCCCGCTATGAGGAGCTGAGGAGACATGATGAAATGTGATGTGACAGACTGAATGAGATCGTGAAACAGAAAAGGGCATTACCTAAAAACTAAGAAATAAAGTATGGGCTTTAGATGGTATTAATGTATGAGTATTGATTGATTATTGTAACAAATGTCCCACGCTAATGTGAGATGATAATAATAGGGGAAATCAGTGTAGGATATATGAGAATTCTTGTTTTCTTTGCAGTTTTTCTGTAAATCTAAAAAAAAAACTGTTCTAAAATAAAAAGTTTACCAAAAATAAAAAGCATGAGGATAGATTCAGTATATACAAAACAAAGTACAAGACAGGAGTGCCAGCTGACGCTGAAGAAGGACACCGAGAATAACGCAATGATCTGTTCTGGCTGTCACTTAAAAAAGAGGCACACGTGGAGTTGAGAGGACGTTTGAGTGAGTCTCAACTTTGACTAAGAAATTGTATAGTTTTGCAAG